TCAGCCTTATTCTGTGTATGTGTACGAGATGCTCCATATAGTTTGTTTTCTCTTTCGAATCTACCATAATGAAACGTGTGTTGACGACTGCGTCTCATATTTTCGAGCTTGTGCATCACTTGTCTGTGAAGAATCTACATTCCATTCATGCTTTCGGTGTCTCGTCACTTCTTTCGCTTGGTTCTTTGACACTTTCCCTGAATCTTTTTAGGGTTAAAAGTCGCCACTTGTTTTCTTCTGGTGTAATAGGTAGAAACAGTCATTTTCAGCATGTTCAACAAATGAATCAATCCATAATCTACGAATGCTAATGTGACATTGAAACAACTTATTTCTCAATATCCACTCTATTACGCGAAAAAAAAGTGGAAATCGATATATAGGTGGGGTTTGTGTGGAATGCGTCGTCCGCTTTCTTCCTGCCCGTCTTGGTTTTGTGATGCATAGGTATATTGTGCATATGGTCGACAGCAAAATGCTGCAGTCGCATTCGGATTTGGAGACGAACTAAGCAAGTAAAGTGGAAGCATTGGATTGGGCGTCTGCTGGTATGCTCCGAACGCAGCATGTTGATGAAGATTGTTCCCGACTTGTGTTGGTGGATTCAGGAATGGAAATGCAAATGGGTGCTGCACGGTTGGAGGACTTCGACGCGATGCGATTTGTAGCCGACAGCAATATTCCTGGCGCTAGTGATGGAATTCGAACTTGAACTTGCGAAATTGGACGCATATTTAGACTGAACAGAGGGTGAACACATACATGGTGATTGGTGACGGTGGTGAACGTTGGCGATGCTAGCGATCGTTTACGTGCATGTTTTCGCACACAATTCAATTAATTTTCGGGTGAAATTGGAAAAAGAAACCAGGAGGTTGAGAAGTTGATCGCGCGGGTACTTTTATAATATACCTATTGCCATGTGGGTGCTTCATTGTGTTCTTCTGCACAATAAAACAACGCATCCGCAATTTGGGCACTTCACACCAATAATTCCACAATGCTAACATCATCATCTTCCAGGCGGGTTGATACTACCATCGAAATACCATGATGAATCATCAAGGAATTCAAGACAATGACTCAGCTGGGATTCTGGTGTTCTTGCATACGTTTTATGGACGTGTCGATGATACGAATTTCGCCTTTCTGAAGAATTCTCATCCCAAGACCGCTTCGGGTAATTCAAAGCGAAATCGATCTTGTGGCAGTCTTCCGATATTACTGCAACTGCACGAGCTGTAGAAAATCATGCCAACAACTTCACCAACTTCTCCTCTACCACATCCATCTCTTCATGATCCTGTATTCCTCAACCCAACAATTCCATGACCAAGGTGACCCATTCCATGCCGGATCCACCGGTCTTAGAGGCAAGCATGCGTTACTAACAGGTCTTTTGCCGCATTCATGAAAATAGCCGATGTGATTTTCCCCATGCGATGCAGCAGCTGTGTCGATGCTTTTCTCTTTGGAGGGAAAATCCAAAATCTAAACCTTACACCTCACTGTTCCAGATTCGAATTGGCAACAATGTCTCCATCGCCGCCCGATTCGCAATGGACTGGTGGTAGTCTCTTGATGAACATGTCCACAATTGTCGAAGAAGGTTACTCTCTTCAAATGCTTCTGCTTCTGGGGTATGAAAACTCCATGTGACTACAAAGGAGAGACTACAGCATACCGCACGTGAACTTTATGCAAGGCATTGTGCAAAAGAAGCTGCAACTTGATGATGATGGTAATGATAAAAGTCGAGATTCGAATAGTAGTGGTACTATTAGCCAAAAGCCTCGCATTGGAATTCTCAACCGCTTACTACACCGACAGAAATGATGCATCGTCAATGCCAATGGGATAGCGACACCTACTCAACTATTGCCTCGGAATGATACGGTCAAAGTCAAGTATTTTGAAGGATCCTAGGAAAAAGTGCTGCCTCCGCATGGGGCTCAATTGGCGGGCCTTGCCTCGATGAATGCGTGAATGTGGTGGTTCAGGGCAAAACTCGATTGTGAACTGACCTACAGAGACCGACGATCCTCTGTTGATTTAAAATAGCATCTTATTCTTGTGGGTTAACTATATTTTCCTCTTTTGGCTGGCTTGCCTTAAGTCGCCAGCACTGGCCAATGGACTCATCATTCCCAACGAGTTTAAAATATAATATGTCAACAAGAATTATAATGTGCTCTGTCTCATGGCTGCCTACCGCCGGTCCAGGTATATAGTAGTATCTGTAGTGCACTACTGTATCGTTGCAGGAATATTTTCATTTTAAAAACTATAACCTACAGTATTACCTACGTTTTAGTGCATCAATACAGTATTGTGAAAGATCTTCGCCATATAAAAGCTGCGGTCGTTGTGGTGGATCTCGTCATGTACTCATAGTATTAATAGCAATAATTCTACCTATAATACCGTATACGTACACGTACAGACTCATCTTTTTCGATCCGTACGAATTTTGTGCCGCAATCGCACGTTTTTTTTTGTACCTATAAAATGAAGAAGCAAAATCGTTTTGATTTGCATCATGAAGTTTGCTTCATTCATTTTTGCCCTTCTTTCCCTCTCCGCTGTTAAAGCTCAGAGCGTTCGTGGCAGAAAGGACCAAGGAGAGAAACATGCCAGTGCCAAAGTAGGCAGAGCTCAGGTGGAATACCATTCCGATCCTCGTGCTGGTGGCGTGAAGGACACCCGCACGGATGATCGTCACAAAGTTCGTTACGGACACGATCAAGGAGAGAAGCATAGTCGTACCAAAGTAGGCAGAGATAAGGAACCCAATTCAGATCCTCGCGCTCATTATCCTTCTGGAGACTACAACTCTGCAGACAACGACCATGGTACCCATGATCCTTCTGCAGACTACAATTCCGCAGATTACGATTACGGAAACCAGTATCCGTCTGAAGACTACAACTCCACATACTACGATTACGGAACGCAGTATCCTTCTTCAGACTACAATTCCGAAGACTACGATTACGGAACTCAGTATCCGTCTGAAGACTACAACTCCGCAGACTACGATTACGGAACGCAGTATCCTTCTTCAGACTACAACTCCGCAGACTACGATTACGGAACGCAGTATCCTTCTTCAGACTACAATTCCGAAGACTACGATTACGGAACGCAGTATCCGTCTGAAGACTACAACTCCGCTGACCACGATTACGGAACGCAGTATCCTTCTTCAGACTACAATTCCGCAGACTACGATTACGGAACTCATTATCCTTCTGGTGGCACCCAATCTGGCACTTGCGATGACATTGATGGTTGGGTCGACTTGTAAGTGCTTCGATCTGCGTTCTACACCCGTCGTTCTTTCCTGTCCTTCTTTCCTAACCTCACGCATTATCCTTTTTAAAATGATTTGTCTTCGCAGTGTTGGTGACGGCTGTGATTGGTATGAAAAGTTTAAAGATGAAAAAGCTTGTGGCTTATGTGACGTTGATCCGGTTGGTCCCTCTGGCAAGACAGCCTGCGAAGCTTGCTGTATTTGTCATTAAATGCACCACCGCACGACGACCAAGGCCGTTGATGAATCCTTGTTCACCGATCCAATCCAAATATTTTTATGGATTATCTATTTATATCGTAGACGGAAGATGATCGAGAATGAATCATTGAATTGATTCCTTCATTTGCTGCCGTGGACACAACACATTATTTGAGACATTGCTCCGCAACAAGTCCGCGATCAGTTTTCAGTTTATCGAACTTGTGTGCGAGTATACGTCAAGAAATAGTTTTTTGCACAACCCACCAGAGTCACAACACCATGAAAGAATCCCGCACAGAAGAAACCAGGCGACAAGCGCCAGTTGGCTATCAAAGATAGCTACATACATATTATTATCCTAATGCAAGTAGTATTTACATCAAATACAAAGCAGTTAAAAAATTAAAAAAATGAATATGGAGTGTTTCAACAACGACATCGATGTCTCGTATTGTGATAGCACAACGCAAGTTGCTGAATGGGGATACGTGTTCCTATCTGTTAGAAATAAGCGGATTGTGCTCTGTAGTGAGTGTTTTTTAGCGAACAACAAACACTTTGCAATCGAAGTTGGTAATCGTCATTGCAACATATTACAACACTTCCACGAAATCACTTCTCCTTTCTGAGGTATACTGTTGAGTGAAATGTTCCTATTGATCGCAAAAGTTGGTTGAACGAATTTCCTTTACCTACTAGAGAAATCTCTTCTTGTTCACAGAACCCAATCCGACTTCTATGAGGATTCTCTGTCAACTACAGTACATTTGGACATTCATCAATGTCATCAATAATATGCCCTTACAGCATCGATATTCCACTGATATATAGTAGGTCATTCGATTTGCGTGTGGATGTTGCATGTTGAATGATGATGTTCGACAGTCTCGCAATAATGACATACAATATATATGACGGGTATACCGGTATACATTCAATCGTGCCTGTCAAATACCCCCCGTACTTGAATAGTTTCTACCTAAAACTCATGCTTCATCATTTCCCAACTTAGGAGTACAGCACACTCCTGCCATCGTGACAATCGCCATTGGCAGCAATGGGTCATGCTCTCATCATTGCTGATTTTGTTTTCATGTTTTCATACACTTGTCTGACCGCTGATCTTTTGTTCCTTTTCGGTTATGGATTTTGGTAGTTTTTTTAAATTCTACTTTGAGCACGTACACGTGTACGTGTACCGCGCTCGCAGTCTGGCGGACATAATATGACCAATCGGACTTCTGATTCGCAATGCAAAAAATATACCGCGGTAGTCATCATCTCTCGTTTTCATTATCCACAGACATTTGTTGTATATTTGGGAAACCTACCGTATACATTTTATATACTACCACACAACATCAACAATGACCGAAGTGCTGGCAGCAAGAGTAGTC